CAGCTACTACTTGTGTGCTGTTCACACTGTCAGACGAAACGTCACAAATGGAAAATATGTTTAAAAAGTTTGACCGTCTCCATTTTCCACAAAATGATTCGGTGGAGCAAAACATATACAGCATTTCGAATCTTCACAAGCTTGTGCATCAAGCTGTGCTTCTAGTTTTCAAATGTCAGCGCGGTTTTTCCGTTTATGAAAATATGTAACCGTGATCTCAATTTCGTCCAGTGCAAAATTGGCATTGTTATACATTTTTGGAAAAAAATCCCGAAATTCAAAAATATTCACAAGAATTCTTCTAGAATCTTTTAGTTTACATTATTCTGCAATAAATAGGATAAATCTTTTAATGAAAAAAACGAATTACGTTCATAAAATAATCGTCGGTACATTTTTTTGCCAAAGGTGCTCCCAATTTTGTCCGATACTGTACATTTTCCCATGAAATGTGAATAAAAATTGTTTCGGGAACTAGTAAATGTATGTCGTTGGAAAGATCTCGAAAAGCACATGTCATTTTTGGTATAAAAATTCAAAATCGATCACCATTTGAACGAGATATGGCCATATTATCACTTTTGGCCGAAAAATTCAAACGGCCAAATCTTGGCCAAATGCCGGCCGATTTTGATGTTTTATACCAAAAACGACATGTACTTTTCAAGACCTTTTCAGTGGTATACAAAACTTTCATTCAAAATCTCAATTTTTGACGACAAAGTCGGTCATATTGGAATATGCATATGTATGTTTTTACCTACATTTTTGTGAAGAGATCAAGATTGTCATCTTCACTTTATTAAAAAAATTCAAAAAATCTTTTTGTTGTCTATCATTTTTCAATTTTCCATGACTTTTTACACAATTCAAAATACTATTTATAATTTTTTGACCAGAAAACACCGAAATACTCGCTTTTAAAGAAAAAAATGAAGGAAAAACTGACATTCTCATTTAAAAAGCATTGTGGGCATGCATTTCCCAGATGTACGAGTAACATCGCAAAAAAGAATGTACGGGTTGAAGGTTAAGTAGATTGAATGGGATTAATCCACTAGGATTTTTTAGTCAAGAATTTTAGGAGTAATTTTTTACAAATTTAAATGCTAAAATGTCCTCTTTCATTATTATATTTTTGGCTGATTTCAGTGAACTAACCTTTTGACTTTGTTTTTGTTGAATATCATTTGAATTCGTGTACTTGTGTAAGAGTTTTGCTATATCAATCATTCAGAAACGACTTGTAAACTAAAGAGAGTAGACATTTAGACATTTTCCATTGTTTAAATAAAGTATCAGTGCGTTTGATGAAGCGCCTTACATGAAACATAGCCAGCCATTTGAACGAACTCAAACGAACATGAACTGTTCAGTTCAACTGGCAGTTCTAAATGAGAAATGTAACGAGAAATTACGTTCATTCAAAATTGTTGGTAAAGCAACGTTGCCAAAACATGTACGTTCTTGTTTCCTTACTGCGCACTTTCTTTTCGATGCATATTATTTTAAAGTGAAACATCGGCGCGAACGTTTTTCAAAGTGAATCATACATGGATTATTTTAATGGTCCGTTCTTGACATTTTGGTCCGTTCTAAAAGTCAAATGGTCCGATCCAAATCGTAAAATGGTCCGTAAGTCTTCGTTAGTTTGATTATGTTTTTGACCTTCTTTAAGCAATTTTTCCAAAAAAAATTCTTGAATACAAAATGACTGAATTTTAACAGTAACTATTAACCATTAACTATTTTTTACAGAAAAATTTACAAATGTTTTAATTTTTCGAACACTTGGTAGAGAACGGGTTAATTTTCGACATATTGGTAGACAGCGAAATGGCGAACATATTTCGCTGATTATTTCAAACATTCTTATTGCAATAATCAGCTATATCGACTGCACACTTTATGTGATGATTGTTGGCTTTGTGTGAGTCTGCCGAACTTGTTTATAAATTCTAAAAGGTTCTTGAAAAAAACAGTAATTCTTGTTGAAGCCAACGTGTAATAAGCAGAAAAAAGTGTATCACTGTGACCAGTACTAGATCCAATATGTCATCATAGAGCTCTTAAAAGAATACACAAATAATATTTTGTCATTTCTAAAAAAATTCGTATCTCTAAAATATGATAAAATTTCGATCTCGTCGTTTTTGACAATCGAAAATAGCTTCAGAATTCAAAAATCGGTCAACTTTGGGATATTGGCATTTCCAAAACCCTTGAAGTTATTTATTTGATTAATACATTATTTGAAACTAGGGGAATTTATCATTCAAAAATTCATGAATTCCGGTGTGTTTTGAGCTAAATTCAGAATATCCACTCATATTCACAGATATTCAGTCTTTCTTATTTGACAGTTCAGGCGTTCTCATCAGCCGCCATCTTGAATTCGTCGCCATCTTGGAAATTTTATTCAAAATATTCACAAAATTCACAACATTCACATATAATCGAAATTTTGACGATGATTCAATGAGAAAAATATCCACAATATTCACAAATATTCACATTTCTCAAGCCTTGAATGAAACCCCTAGATTTGAAAGCGACATTCTTCGAGCATCTAAGATGGGCTTACGCTTTAGGTGGCTCAGTTTTTATCTTTATGAAAATGCAGCAACCATATGACAACGCTGGACTGAGTGGAGTTGAATTAAAATTTTTGGCTCGCTACGCTCGCAGGTAAATGTGGCTGGCCCCCCATGTTGGAAAATTGTTGTTCTGAGATCATTTTCGTGAAATTTGGAGTTTGTGCTGACGCTATGCAAAACCTCAGAGTTTGTGCTTCAACTGGTTGTGAGCACAAACTCGGCAAATTTGAAAATTTGAAGAAAAAATTTTTTTTGCAGGGCGGCTCCATCTCAGAGGCCGAATGTTGTTGTCCTGGGGTGGTTTTCATAAAATTTGGAGTTTGTGCTGACCGTATGCAAAGTCTCAGAGTTTGTGCTTCATCTGGTTGTGGGCACAAACTCGCCAAAGTTTGATTATTGTCAAATTTTGTCGTTTTGTGGGGCGGCTCCATTTTAGAGGCCGAATGTTGTTGTCCTGAGATCGTTTTCATAAAATTTGGGGTTTGTGCAGACCGTGTGCAAAGTCTCAGAGTTTGTGCTTCAACTGGTTGTGAGCACAAACTCGCCAAAGTTTGATTTTTGTCAAATTTTGTCGTTTTGTATGGGAAGTAGTTGAAAAAAGCATTTTTCATGGTTTTGGTCAAGGCAAACTGCCATTATTTTGCAAAAATAATGGGGATCTGTGAACAACTAAACACCAATTTCCCCATAAATTTGGTCCGAAATCAAAATTTCTTCATAAAACATGCGGATGGCCGCAATCTGCATACAAAATCAAATTTATGCCATAGAAAACTTACCTATTATGAGCTAATGTGATTCTATTTTCACGTAATTTTTGATGAGGAATCGATTTAGAGTTCACTCGACCCTGTCTAATTGGTATGAAAGGCCGAGACGTGCTCTTGTTCTAGTAGATGTTTTCAACTCGCTACCAAAATAATTTTTTTCCAAAATTATCTATATTTTATCAAATTTGTGCTGATACTGTATAAAATTTGACACCCTCTAACATAAGTAGCTTCTAAGCACAAACTCAAAGAACATCAAATTTTATCAAATAATATGATTTTTTTTAATCATCAATAAAGACAAAACTTTTTTTCTATGTTCTCTTAAGAAAAGTTCATATATTCTAAACCAATGAAAACACAGTGGAGCAGCCCCAAGAGAACTTGACCGTGACTATGCGGGGACGGAAATAGACCTATAGCTGAGTAAAACCTCAGCTGGGTTTTGCCGAATTGGCAGGGGATCTCATTTTTCGACTTATGCGTTTTTTCAATAACATGGTTTTTCGGCGATATGAACTATGTCAAATTTTAGTCAATTAATCGTTCGTTTTTGGTGATAGCTTATTACTGTCTTTGGCAAAGTTGTAGCTGAGAGTCCAATAAACAAAAATTATGAACATTTTACACATGAAAAATCACATCTAGTAGGTGCTGTGGAGCAAAATGTCGAAAAAATTGACGATTTTTTCAATTTTTCGACCACAAATCATAAAATATCCACTTTTTTTGTATTTTGTCTTCGGCATTATTGTAGTTAGCGTCAAACTAAACAATTCTCCTGGACACATTATCCCAAAAAAATCACATCTAGCCTACTTTTTTGGCTCAACGTCACTTGTCGCTACCAAACGATATCATCGAGCATTTTCGGAGCTCTATATCTTCTCAACTACCCAAAATAGAGCAATAGTTTCTGAAGCAACTTTTTAGTACTTCTCATGAACGTTACTCGCTGAAATATTTGGATAAACTTTAAAAATATTACAGTCCAAACAGCTGAAAAATCCACGAGATGTACGGGGCCAATATTGAACTAAATACCGACGCTGGCTACAATAATGCCGAAGACAAAATACAAAAAAAGTGGATATTTTATGAGTTGTGGTCGAAAAATTGAAAAAATCGTCAATTTTTTCGACATTTTGCTCCACAGCACCTACTAGATGTGATTTTTCATGTGTAAAATGTTCATAATTTTTGTTTATTGGACTCTCAGCTACAACTTTGCCAAAGACAGTAATAAGCTATCACCAAAAACGAACGATTAATTGACTAAAATTTGACATAGTTCATATCGCCGAAAAACCATGTTATTGAAAAAACGCATAAGTCGAAAAATGAGATCCCCTGCCAATTCGGCAAAACCCAGCTGAGGTTTTACTCAGCTATAGGTCTATTTCCGTCCCCGCATAGTCACGGTCAAGTTCTCTTGGGGCTGCTCCACTGTGTTTTCATTGGTTTAGAATATATGAACTTTTCTTAAGAGAACATAGAAAAAAAGTTTTGTCTTTATTGATGATTAAAAAAAATCATATTATTTGATAAAATTTGATGTTCTTTGAGTTTGTGCTTAGAAGCTACTTATGTTAGAGGGTGTCAAATTTTATACAGTATCAGCACAAATTTGATAAAATATAGATAATTTTGGAAAAAAATTATTTTGGTAGCGAGTTGAAAACATCTACTAGAACAAGAGCACGTCTCGGCCTTTCATACCAATTAGACAGGGTCGAGTGAACTCTAAATCGATTCCTCATCAAAAATTACGTGAAAATAGAATCACATTAGCTCATAATAGGTAAGTTTTCTATGGCATAAATTTGATTTTGTATGCAGATTGCGGCCATCCGCATGTTTTATGAAGAAATTTTGATTTCGGACCAAATTTATGGGGAAATTGGTGTTTAGTTGTTCACAGATCCCCATTATTTTTGCAAAATAATGGCAGTTTGCCTTGACCAAAACCATGAAAAATGCTTTTTTCAACTACTTCCCATACAAAACGACAAAATTTGACAAAAATCAAACTTTGGCGAGTTTGTGCTCACAACCAGTTCAAGCACAAACTCTGAGACTTTGCACACGGTCAGCACAAACTCCAAATTTTATGAAAATGATCTCAGGACAACAACATTCGGCCTCTAAAATGGAGCCGCCCCACAAAACGACAAAATTTGACAAAAATCAAACTTTGGCCAGTTTGTGCCCACAACCAGTTGAAGCACAAACTCTGAGACTTTGCATACGGTCAGCACAAACTCCAAATTTTATGAAAACCACCCCAGGACAACAACATTCGGCCTCTGAGATGGAGCCGCCCTGCAAAATTTTTTTTTTCTTCAAATTTTCAAATTTGCCGAGTTTGTGCTCACAACCAGTTGAAGCACAAACTCTGAGGTTTTGCATAGCGTCAGCACAAACTCCAAATTTCACGAAAATGATCTCAGAACAACAATTTTCCAACATTTACCTTACGCTCGCCTGATTTTAACTTTTTGACCACCTTAAATATGTTTGGATCCACTGGTTTCACTGTTAAAGAGCCAATATTAAATAATCACTGAATCTTAGTACTCTTGACATTCCAACTAAACTTCGCTCGATCAATATTTAAAAAAAACGCTCTTTGTATTTCTTCGAATTTCTGGTCCGTTCTAAAAAATCCTTAAAATAATCCATGGAATCATGAAAACAAATTTTATTGAAATGTAACACGCGGTGTTTCACTTTGAAAAAATCTCTGTCGACGTCACACTTTAAAAAAATCATTCTTTTGTGTTTCATTCAAATATGCTGTGAATACAAGTCTCACTTTTGCCCTCACCCATTCAAATTATAAATACTAGAACTAAATTATGCTACTGACGAATATGGTAAGATGGAGTGTAAAAATGGTTGAAACTACGATTTTTTTTTAAAAACTCCAACCTTTGTTGAATTGAAGCACAAGATAATTCATTCCTGAGAACTCCTGAATGTGTGATTGAAAAAAATTGGGATCGTGACACGTTTGGTTTATGACACGAATAAATGCCTAGATTGTATGGTTTTTCATTGTCCTGCTGTAAATCATCCAGACAGTAGTTTTGATGTTTGGCTGAAAATCTGTGAAAATTCATTATTTGATGTTCTAAGGTTTTTATAATCACTAATTTTACCTTCCAAAAAATTGAACGTTTTTGTTTGGAATAAATTTTTCTGGATAAACGTTCTTCAGATACCAATCGAATGATTTGCACTTCAACTTTTCTCTCAAAACTCGACGGTGTGTCACATCACCGACATCAATCGTCTGCATTGTGTATATAATATAACGTTGTCGAGAATTTTCCAGAATTTTAAGGTGTATGTCAGCAGGGCAACCGGAAATATTAACGAAAAAATAAAATTTGTCTACGTATTTCGTTATTTCTGAGTTATTTCATGAATATTTCACCACATTTCATGTTTTCTTTGTCAATAATTTAATCATTCTTGTCATTGAAATCAGTAAATGGTAACAATAAATTTCGTCATTCGTGATCTTGACACTTCATCATTTTAAAGAAAACGTAGTTTTTTTTACACTTTGTGACCGATTGCTACAACAAAAAAAACACGTTTCGTTTTAGTTCTGTACACTGTAGATCGGAAATATATGGGAATTTTAGATGCGCCATGGGTAGCGAATCTGTTGCTGCATTCCTCCATGTGCGCACAGCAAATGAAAATAAACAGGCAAACCTGTTTCAATACTATCACAGGCATAACTTTACATTACCGAAACATGAAGAAATCGTTCATTTTTTAATATATTAATTTTAATATATTAAGCGAATGTCGTCTCAAACGGGCCACACTTTGATTGACCGCTATAACATCCTTAAAAGTGAATAATGTTTACAACAGAGGTTGGTTGCAGATAAATTTATTTATATAAATTTCAAATATCAAATAAATTTATCCGATATTTTTCATGCTTTGTGTTGTTCTGACGCATTCGTAGTACATAAACGAAACATCGGCTGTTGTATTGGCAGCCAGCTGTTCATCGCAGGAATGAGATTTTTGTTTTGTTCATTAACCGATTATTGTGAACAAGTCTGCCACTGTGTCACTACATATAGTATATATAGTCCATAAGAAATGTGCAGAGACGAAAATGTTCGCCATTTAGTTTTACATTGCCAATACATTAGTTATAGAGATTTTTGTTTTGTTTATTTTTTGTCGTTTGTAAACAAATCTGCATATCTTTTTGCATTGTCTCTACCAGAGCCAGTCCTAGCTTCGCTGGCGCTCTGGTTCAAAATCCTTTGGCGCCCTTTCAAGCTGGAATTTTAAAGGGGAGTGAAAAAAACGTAGAAATGATCAAATTTATCCAATTTTTTTTGAAAAGCAACAAAAGAACAATACATTAAAATGACTTATAGGAATGTATTTTTTCTTGCTTTTGAAGTGGCAAACTCTTCAATCACGTCGTCATATTGAATCAAATTTGCTACATCGCTTTCTATTGATATGATTGCCAGATGATTCAGCCTATCTTGATATGTTGCATTTCTGAGATGAGATTTAGTCAACTTTAGCTTTGGAAATGATCGCTCTGCCGTTGCAACGCGAACTGGGATCGCCAGCAGTATTTGAAGAGCAGTAACTGCACTTGGAACTAAGTTTTCCATTTTTCGCTTCTAAATTGAATTCAGTATATTGATTGTGTGATTAATATTATCTTGTGTCACTAGAGTGGAAACCAATGCAAGTTCTACAAATAGTTCATCACCATCGATATTTGATTTTCCATCATGTGTTGAAACAACTTCAAGTTTCTTGCATGATTATTGGTAACTGCCGTTCTTTCGGTTTGTTTCATAGTTTTCAAAATTGTTAAGAAACGAAAATAATTCGCTGTATTGCGTTAGTGCTTTGAAACGATCAGTGATCAGTTGCGGATTCAATGATTGGCAAGAAAGCTTTTGTTTCAAATTCCCCTACATTTGTAACAGTTGTTCTAGCTGCTCGAAGTTTTTGATGATCAAGTTTAATTTCATTCGAAATGCGTTCGCAAATTTCCGTTGCTTCATTGAAAGCCTTTTCGCAGCCATTTTCAGCGTTCGAGCATTTTTCCCTTAAATTGAGAATTTCTTATGTTCTTAATTCGGAGGCGAGAGCGCCGAAGGCACTCGAGCACTTTTTTTCGGAAATACTTTTTCTCAGTTTGGAATTCAAGGGCGCCGAAAAAAGACATGGGCGCTGAATGGAAGCAATTCTTTATTTTAAAATAGAAAATATCAACAAAGTGCGCTCTAAATGGAAAATATTCAGCAATGAATGCTCTAACGGCATCTATACGGTATAGTTTGGAAGTATAAGTAAATGCTTTCGTCATAAGGTTTACCCAAATGTTGGAAATGGCATTTATCAGATATGATATTTTAAACGTCATTCATGATTCAAGTCAGTGATCTTTCGATAGGGACAAAAGCAATGCAAACTGAACTCTGAACGGTTTTGGATTTGCTGAATATAGTACCATTGCGCTTCACTGTGTTGGAAAATATATCATTTCAAAATAAAGAATTGCTTTATTAATTCCCTTTGGCGCCCTTTGAAACTGAGAAGAAATATGTATAAAAAAAGAGCGTTCGAGCACCTTCGGCGATTTTACACCTTATTTAAAAACATCAACAATTTTTAGTTTATGGGAAAGGCTCTCAAGCGCAACTTTTTTTTGTTGGTCAAATAAATTGAATATTCGTGTCAATCGTGTACATTTAATGTGAATTCAACATAAAAATATAGAACAATAGAGACCGACGTACGCCGATATCCGCCAATATGCAGATAAACGTTTATTTTTGAAGAATAACCATACATCAGCGAATTCGTTTAAATCCACGTTTAAGTGCCACGTACTTTTGGTTAACACGCTGTACCTAACCTAAATTGTCATAGGGGTATTGCAGCCACCATAAAATATATGTATTTCATCAAGTTTATCAAGCTCTTTCCAAGTTTATGCATAGTGTCGAACTTTTGTTCAAGTTCTACCATCTAAATGTACAGTAAAATAATTTATGGGCACGACGTAAGATGGCGTTTTTTCTGGTCAAAAAAGTTGCAATATCCCTTTGTAAATTGTGTTTAGCTAATGACACTTGATAAAGTTTAAGTGCCGCGTACTTAAGCTAGTACTTAATTGCCGTAGTACTGGTCGCTAGCTTTAAATGTTCTTTAGAATTGATGCTGATATCATCAACAACAAATAAATGACACTAGAAATGACATGATAAGTCTACTGATAAATAATTACTTAAGTACGCGGTACTTGAGCAATAGATTAAGTACGCGTCACCTAAATATCTCTACCAATTTTAGTACGAAATATTGGTATATCGGCGAAATATTCGCATTTCGGTTAAATATTTGAAAATGGTCATAGAATCGTTACAAATTATCATTATTTGTTATATTGAAGCTTATTCAGAGGAAAAAAATTTGATCGCAACCCCTAGCAAATGCGTTAGAACAACACGACGCATGAAAAATATCGGATAATTTATTTGATATTTGAAATTTATATAAATAAATTTATGTGCAACCAACCTCTGGTTTACAACATATATATACCGTTGGAAAGAAGACCTCACAAGGAAACTTTTTGCCCATAAGAGTCGTTCGATTGCATTACAAGAAAAAAAATTTATCACAAATTTTTCAAACACCTTGAAAATGACCGGAAAAAAAAATTGTCGGGCCACCACATAAATAATAACAGAAGTAATGAAATAACAACACCACATTTCGAATAATTATTAAATTTATATTCCGGCGATTCCACACGAAATCAGAGAAGAGTTGTAACGTGTGTTAAGTTGAAGAAAGAAAGAAATTATGTGTGTTTAGTTTAGAGTATATTTTTAATGACTGACACACTTTTATATTGACAATCAATTCTAAGGTATAGTGATTATCACATATCTACATTCCCTCTCTTAATTGCTAATACCTAACAAATTTCGAAACTTTTCAAACTTGACTCTGTTCAATGATTTAGTTAAAATATCCGCTAACATATTTTCAGTTTCGCAATATAAAACCGAAATTACATTTTTCTCGACATAATCTTTGATGAAGAAATATCTAACATTAATATGTTTTGTCCTATTCGATTGATTTTGTGACATAATCATTTTCCTGCAACTTTCATTGTCTTCAAAGATTACAATTGTTTTCTGAGTGAGAATGTTAACTTTAATTAATAATTTTCATAACCAAATAGCTTCCTTGGTACATTCAGTTAAAGCAATCAGTTCAG